TTTATAGTAAGCAGCATTCAAATAAAAATGGGCATATCTGTGTAAGATGCTCTTACAAGTATTTCAGTCCTCACACACACACACACACAACTTGAAACAACCTGTTATAGGCAATTTATTTTGTTTTTGTTTCTAAGTCCTTTTACAAATGTTGATCATTTACATTCAAGCCAGTTGTGTTTTTCTGATAGTTCACACTTCCTCTTGTACATTTCCCACTTGAGGTAGAAATCCTCTGTGAAATAAACATTTCCACAGCAACCCAGTGATGTCACAAACATCGGCTCATGATTTCAGAGGGAAAAATAAAGCAAGAGAAAAGGATCTCTCTAGAAAGACAGCTTCAGTTTTCTTGCAAATAGGGTTGTTTCTACCAGAGATTCAGAAAATATATTAGATTTCTGGCTAAATACCTGTTTTCTTTTTCTGAAATTGACTTATTTTTCAAACATATGTCAAATGATCTTTTTTTAAAAATAAGGCATCGTCCTCTTTTCTGGGTTTGTGAAGAATGGTGCTTCAAATCAGTGGTCCCTACCAGCACTGGCCACTATAGATTTCAGTAAAGCAGAATATGATTTTTTTTCCCCTAAAAAATGATGTCAGAAAGAACATTGAGAGATGAAATGTAATGTACTAACTTCAGACCCAAATAATGCTGACTGACCTGGCATCAAAAATACAATAGTTTTTAAGAAGTATTAGACTCACAGAAATTCTATTTTGTTATCCAAGTTAGTGCTGATCTAACCAATATTGAATAGAGGGGCTTCACCTCCATTATTCCTTCTATTGTTTCCTGTGTCTCCAGGCTGGAGGGAGAGGGACACATTCTTCATGCTGTCCCCCATTTTAATCCCACTGCAGTCCCGCTCCTATAAATATTAATTGTAAAGGGAAAGGACAATATAAAATTAGGCCCAACACCTGGGATTTCTTAGGCTTCCTGTCTAAATAGTGTCCTTTAGATAATATTTATACAAAGCACTATAGAAATTTAGTTGTAAAGTGTTTTTTTATACATAGTGTTTTAGCTCAAGTTACCATCTGCTCCTATAGCCACCTGGTTTCAGCTCAGGTCCCACTTCTACTCCGGTGGAAGTTAATTCCCTCTGTAATCCCCTTTCCTATTTGTTGAATGAATGGATTTATTTCTCACCACAATCCTGGAAGAATCAGGACTCTTTTAGCGCAGAGATGCTAAATAACCTGCCCCAGGTCACCCAGCTACAAAGTAGTAAGAATTGAACCCTAACTTTGGGACCCACCTTTTCTCTCATCCAGATCCTACTGGACCCATCATAGCACTGCTGTTATATGATCATTTCACTTACCCCCCCCCCAAAAAACAATGTCAGTGGCCCCACTCCCTAGCTGTCCAAATGGGTGATAAGTATGCATTTGTGAGATGTGCTCATTTAAAAATCAATTGCGCCCTGGCCAGTTTGGCTCAGCAGTTAGAGAGTCGGCCCGTGGACCACAGAGACCCAGGTTTGGTTCCCACTAAGGGCATGTACCTTGGTTGCAGTTTGTCCCCGGTCCCTTGGGGTTGTGTGGGTGGCAGCCAGTTGGTGTGTCTCTCTCACATCAGTGTTTCTCTCTCCCTCTTCCTCCCTTTCTCCTTCCTGCTCTATCTGAAGATAAATGCAAAAATGTCCTCCAGTGAGAATTAAAAAAACAAAACAAACAAACAAACAAAAACAAATAAAAATCAATTGCATGTTCACTAGCTCATCTGCTCTTCAAGAGGACCCTGTTAGGAAGCTATTATTGTTTTTGTTTTATAGATGACAGAACTGAGGCTCACAAAAAGACCCCCAACTCCACATCCTACCTACATCTAGCAAGTGGCAGAGCTGGGTCTTAACTTCTGGTCTGTGACTTCTCTTTCCCTGAAATTTAGTCTGTCCCATCTCCAAACACATGGATCCACTGAGCAGGCCCAGGCCCTGCAGAGACACCCAGCCAGGGAGAGGCAAGAACAGGTGGCAGAATCTCCTCTGAGCAACAAACAGGAACATTTGTATAAATGAGGTCTGGCCTCCAGCTGCAAACATTCGGCTCCCCTCAAATCTCCAGCTCTCTTCTTTAAACAGGAAAGGCCCAAAGAGTGCCACCTGGATAGACTTGTGATAAAATGCCTTCCTCTTTGCCCAGCTTGCTCCTCTGGGGGCAGGCCTTCCGCTCTGAAAGAATTTTTGCTCGGGAGGTTTGCTCACCTGGCATTAGCATAGTAACATGGAGGTTTGTTTGCTAGTTCCCAACAACATAAAAACAAGCCATCCCTCTAACCCCCACAGGGGCCCAGAACAGATGGAGACAACCAACCCCTTGGGAAACAGAGGGAGCCGCTAGCTCATTGAGAAAAGATCACCCCAGCCACCTTGGAAACTCCTTGCTGTGCAGTATACACAAGTCTGAAGATGGAAACCCCAAACAGAATGCTGTTGATCTCCAAATCCACTGGGGTGGGTTTCCTGAAGGCAACCCAAACTTTCTCCTGCATGCATTCCTCCGTCGTATTGCCAAGTCACGATCTGCCACACTTGAAAATGTGCAATTTGAGGAATTGCTATCGTTCCACTAATGAGAAAATCCATCTTTATTCATAAACCCTCTCCCCCTCCAAGAAATAAGTTTTGCATTAATTTCATATTGGTAATTGGTTGGCAGTCCAGATGATGCTGGGGTGTTTTCCTTGTTTATAAATGAGGTGCGTTAGCATACTTGTACCACTAGGGTACCATTTAGTGATGGCAGCTCTGCTCTGCAGATGTGAGAGGCCAAATTGCTGTGCATGTGGATAAAAAATGATCGTTTTGGCTAAAACTGCAGATGGGAAGCAGATGTAATGTACAGAGGAAGTTTGATTTCATTCGCTCTCCTTCCTTTATTAAAATAAACTCTGCTAATTTGTCTTATTTTAAAAAGCCCATCTGAATACAAACTCCTGGGTGTTAATTTCACGCGAAGTGAAAACCGTGTCAGTCTTGCCTTCAAGAAGTTTACAGTCTCAACTAATGTTGTCTGGTCTACCAGGTTTTTTAGGTTACCAAAATTTTCTTCGTAATTGTTTACAATTTTACATCCTCTCATCAAAATTATAATTACCCTGGGGAAGGGTTAACATTCAGAAACTAAGGCAGAAAATGAACCTGAAAATTGTAACAATGATGATGACGAACGTACTGAAGACTTAAAAGAGGCAAGGTGTGATGTTGGGCACAAGACATTCCTTCTGTCTTTGGGCTTCCCTGAGACAAGGACTAGAGAGCAAGGTGTTAATTTGGGAGGAGATCCTTGGAAACACAGGTAAGGAAGTAGGGGAAGTGGGATAAAGAAGTGAAGGAAGCATTACCATGGCAACCAGGGCTGGCTCCTACTTGGGAACCACTGGGAGGCAGTGGAGAACACATACGTTCAAGTTTCCCCATTCAAGGGATAAAAAAAGCCAGGGTATTTATTGATCCTCCGACCCCTCAGTGGAAGACTGCTCCCAGGTGTTATTAACTCCCCAGCACATTCAACCTGTGGCACAAGGTTGGTCTGGCAGCCAGAGAAAGTCCTTAGGCAAATGGATGCAGAGGCTGATGTTAGAATCTGGGCCATGTATACGGTTAGGGGTATGGGGATATGGGTAGGGCACCAAGAGCATCTGCTACCCAAACATTAACTCATTTCATTTTATAAAACCCTTATGAAGTGGGAACTATTACATTTCTACTTTTTCCCAAGGGAACACATTCTAGGAGCGTAAGAAGCGGCATCTGTTGTTTTTACCCAGTTAGCATCGGTTCTCTCTGCTGGTAACAGCCCCCTCCCTGCCTTTTCCTTTGAGAAACGTTCCCTTCCCTGTCTCAGTGCTCTGACCTAACTCCCTCACTCCAAGCATGCACGGGTGACCCACGCCGACCTGGTAAGAGCTCTACCTCAGAGGTTCGCCGGAGCTATGGGGCGCGGGGTGTACCCTCTCTGCCAGGAGAGTAAAGCTGGGAGGACGGAAGCCTGGAGCTTGTCCAGGTCATGTTACTCCCACAACGATGATCCCAACTGCTTGAGAATGAAGCCAGCCCAGAGGAAAGCCAGCACTGAAAAGAAGCACCCAGATTCCTGACATATCTTTTGAGAACCTGGATCCAGCCCAACCTGAAGCTGGACACCTCCCTGGACTTTCCCCATACGTAAACCAATAAACTCATCTTCAATTATAAGCTTAATTCATAGCATGTAAACAATTTGGCCAACATCACACTGCGAATGAGCGTGGAGGTAATATCCAAGCCCAAAGAGCCCTGCTTCCCCGTGCAGTGCTATGGCCCACGATCTTAGCCACAGTACTCTACAGTGCAGTTAGCCTCACCACAGGACAGAACGCGGAGCCACAGTACCCTTCTCGTTGCCTGGCCCTCACTTTCCTTCCAAAAGCTGCTGCCAATTTGTTTAAGAGGATAATGGATCAGGGTGCATCTCGGCCTCATTTGAATTGTTTGTTCCATCAAATCATTAAAAGTGTGCCATGTCTTATTGATGGTCACTTGAAGAAAGGCCAGAGTGAAAGTGACAGAAAGTTTAAAAAGAAAATAGAGAATTAAGACCTTCAGCTTTTCTGCCCAGCCGGTGTGGCTCAGTGGCTGAGCGATGACCCACGCACCAAAAGGTCACTGGTTTGATTCCCGGTCAGGGCACATGCCCGGGTTGTGGGCCCGATCCCCAGTAGGGGGCATGCAGGAGGCAACCGATCGATGTTCTCTCTTATTGATGTTTCTATCTCTCTCTCCTCCCTTCCTCTCTCTAAAATCAATTTAAAATTTTTTTTTTAAAAAAGGCCTTCAGCTTTCCGATGAGCCAATCAGTAGGTATTTATGGACAACGTCTGTTTCAGTCAGAACTCGGTTGCAAGTGACCTAGCTAAAGAAAAATAAAATAAAGTAAAAAGAGTTTCATGGGCTTACCTAACTGACGAGGCCAAGACAGTGTTGTCTTGGGAAAGGCTGGATCCATGCAAGGCTCAAACAGCGTCAACTCCACAGCTTCCTGGTTTTCCTGCCTTTGTGTTGACGTCATTCTCAATCCCGCATGGAGCCTCCCGCAGCATCTGGCTCACCTCTTCCTTCGTACGAGTGGTCCTAACAGAGAGAGTAGACAGATACCCGTCTCTCTCAACAGTCCCAGCAAAGTCCCTGAGGTTTCTAATCATGGGCTCTAACTGAGTCCCGTCCCCACCTCTGCACTAAGTGTGGTAGCCAGCGGGATGCAATGCGCTGACTGTCTAGACCTGAGTCACAGGCCCCTCCTCGGCGCTGTCGGTGGAGTCAACACCACCGATGCACATGAACTGAGACTGTGGTCCCCTGGAGTAAAATTGGGACACAATCTGGTCATCTATTTCTAGAAGAGTGAAGTAGGCTGTCAAGTAGGCAAAAATGGCGTCACCCACATCAGCACGGTGGTTGACATAAGAGAGGACGCATGACCTACCTTTAATGGGCTCCTACTTTGTTCACAGAAAAGTAACACTACACATAGAACAGCAAAGAAAATATAATATGTAGCAGTACATAAAGTTAATTATAGGTTCTGATTTGCAGACAATAGAATCCACTTCAATACTTTAAGCAGGTACTCTGAGGTAACTCATATAATTCCTGGGACAGCCAGAGCACTGGGTTTGGTTGCTGCAAACAGGAACAAAGCAGCCAGGAAAAGGAGCTGTATGACACCCACCGCCCTGGACGAACACGAAGGCTTTGCCACCTGGTCGGCCAGAACTTAACAGCCACCATACATTGCTCATTTCTGCCTGTCAGTCTGGAGCGGGTGTGTGTGCTTGGGGGCAGCATCATATGCATGACTTTACCTGCAAAGGAGTCTGGGAAATGTAGTTTTCAGCATTCTGGTCACTAAGTACCAAAGGGTTAATTAAGAGGTGCTGCAATGGACACTGATGAGGTCATTTATAATATCTGCCATAAAGCAGATTACAGGAGTTCAGTGGGAGAGAAGCCATAAAGGCTGGACTCAAGATCTGCTCACTGGTCATGCTGGCTAGTCTGACATGGTGCTGACATTTGCTAAAAAAAAAAAGAGGATCTAGATGCTAAGAGGTGAGACGTTCACAGAAGCCTGTACTCTTCAGACCACTTCTGGAGCACACCTGTAAGTGCTGGGTGCCACTTGAAGACACAGAAGACGTTGGCAGGTTGTGTTTGTCCGTGGGAGGCAATTAGAAGTCTGGACTGTGCTGTATGAACTGTCTCGACAGGTCTCCCCTTCAAAACCTATATTCAGTGTTTCTTCCCCTTAAATACTTTGACTTCTGTCCATGTATCTCCACCACCCTCCGGTGAGCCACTTTCCTCTTGTCAGGACCTTCCAGTAAAACCCCAACAGGCTTTTTGTGCCCATTCTTACCCTCGACCAGCCATTCCCTACCCTGCCAATAGCATCATCTTTTCAAAGCACATACACAATCGTGGATGCCCTTCAATGGCCTCCGCTGCTCTTTGGCTCAAAGTCTGAATTCTTAAGATGAGCCCTTTCGATTCCTCCAGCCTAACCGCCAGCCCCCAGCCCAAGTCCGGCATGACTTTCTAAGATCCTAGGTGTCTGGAGCAGTCACAGGAGCCCTCATGATCGGACTTCTACCAAGTACCTCTCCAGAGAGCCCCTTCCAACCTTTCTGCCTGGAAGACCTGCTCCAGATCTAGCTTGGCAGTCACCTTTCTTGGGGGAAGCCCTTTGTGACTGTCCCAGAGGAAACTCCACGTGTCTTTCTTCTCCGTTTCCGATGCTCCCAAGGGACATTTCCCACCAGCCACTCTTATCACTTTGATTTTCTCCACCTAGCAGAGGACCTACCTACTCGATAAAAGTTGACCAAACATGACCAAATGAAGTTAAAAAAAAAAAAAAAGCAGTAATGAAGAAAATGTGTTTTGTCTGGCCAGGGTGGCTCAGCGGTTGAGCATGGACCCATGCACCAAGAGGTCGCTGGTTTGGTTCCTGGTCAGGGCACATGCCCAAGTTGTGGGCCTGATCCCCAGTGGGGGGCATGCAGGAGGCGGCCAATTGATGTCCTCTCATCGATGTTTCTCTCTCTCCCTCTCTCTTTTTCTCTCTCTAAAATCAATAAAGAAGGGGGTAATAAAGTTTTAAAAAAGAAAAGAAAATGTGTTCTACTACCACAATTAATGTGTTTTTCTCCTCGTAAATTCTTGCTTCTAAACAATCAGAACCTGACAGCACGGATTAAATCATTGATCTTCCCAGTTCTCTGCCTCGAATCGAACAATCCAGTGACAAACCCTGATCTTTCATCAGAAACTGGTAAAAACAGAAGCTACGGCCCAGTACCTTGACTGTGTGTGGCTGTGCGACCCATATATGCACATCTACAGGACAAATATTCCTCTCCGACCCTTCTCCTTCCTAGGCGGAATTAAACGCCCAATTACCATATTTGATCATTTTTTCTCCCGTAAACCCTGACGAGCCTGTGTGTGCGCATGCGCGCGCGCCAACCACCTTCTTCAGCTCCATGCCTGAATTGCACCGTGCAAACAGCCTTAGCAGGGAGGAACACGACCAGAAATGCAGAAAACTTCTGCTAAACGTTATGTTCCAGTTCCTTCTTACACACGGTAATGCCATGGGCCAGCGAGGAAATAAAAGCATCTCCACCCTGCCCTGTATAATTAAATGCCGAGGTGAAGCTTCCCTCCGTTCTGCTTTCAGAGCCAAACAATGCTCGTTTGCATTCCATCATCATATATAAACACCCACCGGCCTGGATAATTCACCTTCGCGGTTCTGTCGCTAAACCTTAAATCAGGGCACCCTGAACCGCATTTAAGCACATCAGGAGGGCCTCTGGTTATGAAGCCTGCGGTATTTATTTTTCTCTGAATAACAAAAATATCCTATTTACAGTCCACTCTTTGGAAAGGGATAACAGGGGTCTAGACACTCCATCGATCGTCCTCTCATCAGGTCTATGGATTCAAACATCTTCCTTTCTTTAAACCTTCATCTCAGAGCAGCTAAATAGCCACTAGAGAATGAGGTTTGGAGGTAGGTAGCTTCTACCGGCTTTCCCTGCAGAGATGCGGACAGTGGGACCGCAGCGAGGACGAGGCATGGGAGCCAGACACCGGGAAGCCCGAGAGACAGCGCAGCGTGGTGGTCGGACCAGGTCTCTCAAGCTTGACCTTGCACGGGAACCGCCAGGGATCCTGACACAACGCAGAGTCTGGATTGGTAGGGCTGAATTGGGGCCTGAGAGGCTGCATTTTCTAGCAAGCCCCTGGGGATGCTGATGCTACTGGCCCAGAGTACACAATTTCGGTGATACAGCTCTAGACCTCAAGCTCCGAGTCATGTAGGCCTGACTGGGAAACACCTCCTTGATATCTGGGCACCCTTGGACAAATTACTTGACCTCTCTGGGCCCTGGATTCCTTATCTGTGTAACAGCAATGATAGCACCTATCGGGCAGGTCTGCCAAGAGGATTAAATTGTGTAGTGCATGTGAGGGGCTGAGAGTAATGCCTGGCACATTGTAAAAGCATCTGGAAAGGGTTTCTTAGTGTTACCTGGTTCAGAGGGGCGTCCTGTGCTGGCGGAACCCTGTAGCGACAGAATTGAGGCCGAGGGCCAACTCTCCTACCACCTGGGAAGCATGCCTTGCCCATTGGATTATTTCATTATTTTTAGTATTAAATTATTTTCTTGGTTTTGTTTTCTCATGACACAAAGTAACACATGTTTGCTTAAAAAAAGAAAGGGAGGAAGACAGGAAGGGCAGTAAAGAAGGAGAGGTAGAGAAAGAACAAAATAAAATAAGAAAAAACATACAGACCAGAGAGATCACGTGACATTTTAGTCTACATACCTCCAAGTCATATATAGGCATATATTTTGAATAATGGAATTATATTGCACATGCCATCTTACAATCTTTTATGTTCACTTGATACATCACAAAAACAACAGAAACAACAGTGGTGATATCAATAATAACAATAGCTCCTCTTCAGTAGGCTCTTACTATGTACCAATACCTCGCACACACAGTGTCTGAACTCATTAATTTTCACAACAGTTTCACATGGACTCTTACCATCCTCATTTTAGAGATGACAAAACTGAGGCTCAGACAGTGTAACTTTAATTTCTGTATTCTGCATCCTTTGCAGGTTCATCCTGACAGGCTGTTTTATTGCCTGCTTTTTTCCCCACTTATCACATCAGAAATATCTCTCCCTGCCATCCATGTTTTTGCACAACATCATTTTTTATGGCTGCATAGTATTCTGTTGTCTGTTATGAGCTCCATTTTACAGATGAGAAAAGTGAGGCTTGGAAGCTCAATAGATTGGCAGGCATTAAGGGGAACAATCATGACCTGCCTGAGAGTCTTGGTTCTGTCCACCCAGAGGCACTGAGTACTTAGTGTGCGCAGGGAATTTGCTGGTCTCAGTGGAGAATGAAAGAACAACGTGCTTCCTACTGCTGTAGAAGTTGCTGCCCGGTGCTAAGTAAACAAATACATGAACAAGATGATTTGAGGTTTTGATGTGTGAGAAAAACAATCCCACCCTGAGATGTGATGAATTCGAGTGGCAAGACTGTTTGACGTGATACCCAAATGACAAGGAGGTCATCGCACAGTGATCTAGTGTCAGATTCATTTAAATCTCTTAACATGAAACATGGTAGCCCTATCATTTAAAAATTCTCATAAAGAATACATGAGAGAGTGTACACAGTGGGGTTGGCAAGGCTCCAGAGCCAGAGGCTGGAGGGGGGGGACCTCTGGCTCTGTCCTCTGTGTGGCCTTGGACGGTCTCAGTCACCTCGTCAGCAAAATGGGCTGTGACACTTGTCTTAGGACAGGGCTGCTATGAACATGGAATGGCCCGAAGGCCATGGAACACTTGAGCTGCCATTGACAGCGTCACTGAGTGTTTGGTTGGTTGGCCTGGTGTTGAAGGGTCAAACCTGGGCTGTGACGTCATCAGCAGTAATTAATAGTAGAACAAGGAGATTCCCGAGGCCTCACAAACTACACATGTTTGTGAGCCTGTTGGGCACTGTCATTATATCATGATCAAGAGGCAGATAACACTTTGGACATCGCGTGCTAAGTCTCACCACCAGCGCAGCTTAGAAAATTTTCATTGATGACGTCTGGCTTCTCATTTCATCTGTTTGCTCTGGTAAAGTAAGGGAAAGGGTGAACAGGACACCCCCCTGCCCCCGACACTCACACACCTTTTTTGACGTCTCTCAATGCTCAGGTGGTGTCATTGAGACAGAGGTCTTGGAAGGAAAGACTCTAACATTAACAATGACTCCTACCATGTGCCGGCAGTGGGCTAAGCACTTTACATCAGTCCACTGACCTCCTCTTTCCTCCCCTTTACAGATGAGGGGACTGAGGTTCTGAGAGGTTGAGGAGCTTGGTCACCACCACAGCCAGGCAGGCAGCCAGCTCTGTGCCCCGGGCTCAGTCCTCACAGTGCACCCGGCTCCTCTGCCCAGGGACCACCCCGCAGTTCCCCCTGCTTAACTCTGACCTTGTCCTCGGATCCGAGACATGTCTCTTTCCCAGTGAATCGCACACATTGCGGGCTCGCCAAGCTCTGCATTGTCCTTCAGGTCGCCTGTCACAGCTGCACTTGCACACTGCCCCTGGATCACTGGCTTCCCTGTGCAGTGGGGTTGAGAGCGCAGCTAGGACACCAGACAGGGATGAGAGCGAGCGCCCCCTCTTCCCCGCGGAACCTGTCTCCACCTTGGCCTGACCGAGGGACTCAGTATAACGACCCCACAGGAAGATGGTGACGATGAACTACAGGAACGTTGCTGACATGCTTGAGGAAATGCCCAGCTTTGCCGGGGGCACAGGTAAGAAGGGGCCTCAGGGCCCAACCCCTTGCGCTGTAACCTCCAGGACAGGACTGTCCCAGCGCAGCCCCGGCACAGCAGACCAGCCATGAGAACCTACAGAACTCAGCGGAGTGTGATCATCATTCTCATTTCACGACTGTTGGGTGCTTGCCTCTTGACCAAGGGACGGAGCTGAGACTGGCACCCAGTCGTTCCTTCCTGCCTGGGTGGTGGGAACTGCTGGGAGAGGTGGCAGAGGGGTCATGGGGCTAAGAGGAACATTCCAGGGGGGCGTGTGGTCCGTCCTGTCCCAGCGGCACAGCAGCCTGGAGGTTCCTGCCTCGTCGGGGTCCTGAGCAGGTGCAGCAAGGTGGCTGGAAGGGGCAGAGGGCCTCGTGGGCCCAGACCTCCTGTGCCGGGCGGAGGGAGCTCCTCCAGACCTGGGCTCCGGGCACAGACTGAGAACAGGACAGGGACCTCCCTTCTCGCCAATGCCCTGGGGTTTTAACTTGTTCCCTCACTTCCCCGGGGTCTTGCGTGTGGCCTGGGCCTGGTGATTTCCCACAAAAGCTCTTCCGAGCGTTTCTGTCTTCAGAGGAAGGGCCGGCCCAGCCAGACCGGCTCCACTCCCCTCCCTTCACCCCCAGGACCAGACCAACCTGCCATTTTTCCTCTCTCGAATTTAAGAGCCTTGCAGACACAGAGATCCTTTTAGCTTTTAACATATTTAATAATTTATTATTTATTATATTTTTGTAACTGTTTCCTCAGATCGTGCCTTGGCAGCTCCCGTTTCCAATTTGCACCTACCTGACATCGTTTCTGTTACAATCCACCGGAGCTCCCAGGGCCGGGTTTCCTCTGTTAACACTTCTCTATGGTCCTAATGAACTTCCATGCTTCATTTACTCAGGAAGACAGCGTTCTCCCCGCGCACACCCCTCCTGCTCACAGGCATACAAATCATATGTGTCACTAATACAGTGTTGGTTTGCCCTGCGCTGGTTCTTTTTTTAAAACCCGTTTGCCCTTCAGCCTGCTATTAACCAGTTTCTTCCTCGTCTGGAAAACTGGCTCTTTTACATTTCATCATTCAGTTTTTTCCTCGGGGATTGTACCATTTATTAAGAAGTCAAAACCAATTTTGGAGCAATCATAGATACCAAATAGTCTCGTGAATCTTTTGCGTCCTCCACAGCTCCTGGCACAGGGGTGGGCACACAGCAGGGACATGGTAAACACACGTGTTGACCGAGATGGTCAACAAGCGATGTTGACAAAGGCAGGGGGGGCGCTGCCTAAGTGCTGAGACGCAAAGTCAGACTGAATGCTGGTTTGGTCCCACCCTTGCTGTGTGATCTTAGGCAAGTTACTCAAATGCTCTGTGCTCCAGGTTCCTCGGCTCTAAAATGGGACTGAGCGTCATTCTGCCATCTTCCAAGGCATGCCGCAAGGACTAAATAAGTAAAACACTTACGATGGTTCCTGGCAGCGCATGTTCTCAATGAACGATAACTTTCGTCACCACTGCCTGCCGACTACTCGCAAGGTTGGTAGATACAGAAGATAACCTGGAATCACAGAATCAGGCAAATCGTACCCTCCCCCCTCCCCTCCCCTCCAATGTAAGAACCACCGATGATAAAAGAAATAAGAGGATCTTGTTCCTGGCTGTCTGCAAAGCATTCAGCTGTGTGGAAATGGCCTGTCCATGAGTCCCAGTGTCACCCTGTCGCTTCTGTGAGTGATCTCAAGGCCAGGATCTGTAATATGGGGATGGTACTTTGTCTCTTGCTGGGGAGAGAACCCACAATCTCTGCTCTCAAATCTATCACCTTCATTCAAATAATTTCTTGACTCATTAGTCTAAAATGAGTCGCCCACATGCCAACTGGGAACAGTCCCTGACGAGCCTACAGTAGGAGCCATCCAGCCATCTGTAAAGATGGGTGGACTCAGGTGGCAGAGGCAGCAATGCCCACTAGGGGGCGGGTGCGTTCATTCATTGTTCCTGTGGTGGCTCAGTCCCAGGACTGGGAAGGGAAGCCCCACTCCAATCCACCTGTGTGTGTGCACTGCTTCTGCCCCAACTCAGGAAGTTGTGTTAATCCCCTCAGGCCTAGGAGATCCGAGGCTAACCTGCCCAGGATCACAGAGCTAAGAAGAGAAACTGCAATGGAACCCAGATTTCTTACTCTGCCAGGCTGCCCCCAGGATCCCAGGAGAGGGCAGCACTCAGCTTTGCCTGAGGAAGGGAAGGTGTGCAGAAACCTGAAATGTACACACCGACAAAATGGTGTGTCACGGGCATCCCCCAGCCCAAAGAGCATGGGTCTAGGCCTACATTTCCCAAAGTGTATCCCATGGAACATAAGTCCTTGAGGGTGTTCTCTGAAAAGGATCTAGGGTCATACAAGTCCATGAAATGTGACCTTCACTATTCTCTCTGAAATACAACATACACATTAGTTTGTTAAAGGTCCTGAGAAGTCCTGCAGTAAAGAAACCTGCTTGCTTGACTTTGCTGAAGCCAGTCAGCCTTTCCTCAGTATACTTTTATGTACATGACACCCATTAATGTTCCCTTTGAGAAATGCTGGTTTTGTCAAATAAGGAACATAATGAAAGTGAAGAAATGGGACTTTACACCCTTGAATAATGAATTGACACAGCTGTCTCAAGGACAGACAAAAATGTGTCCATGCAAGGTACTTATGGAAAGTCCAAGTTATAAAAGAAAGACAGAACCGGGGAGAAACCTAGTCTTTACATTATGCAAAACCACTGCAGCATTCGCAATGACTCCCAAGTAAAATCCAGGAGACAAAATACAATGGCAATCAAGCTGTTTCACACTGTGGGGTACAAAATCTGTGCTTTATTAGTTCATGCTCAGAGCTAAGATCTTAGCATGGAATGCGAGTTTATTCATGAAGCTCACTAACATAATCAGAGATTTAGCTGTGGCTGTGCATTTGAATGGCTTAGAAAAGTACAGTCCAGGAAGCACTATTTCCAGTAGCCTAAGTGTCCACTGACAGATGGATGTGATACACACACACACACACACACACACACACACACACACACAGGCAGGACTACCATTCAGCCATAAAAAGGAAATCCTGGCATTTGGGACAACATGGATGGATCTTGAGGGCATTATATTAAGTGAAATAAGTCTAACAGAAAGGTGAATACTGTATGACCTCATTTATATGTTGAATCTTAAAAAAAACCTCATAGAAAAGAGATCAGGTTTGTGGTTCCCAACGGAGGGAGGTGAAGGGTAGAGGAATCAGACGAAGATGGTCAAAAGGTGCAAACTTCCAGTCAAGGGAAATAAGTACCAGCATGTGATGTACAACACGATGACCCAGTTAACACTGCTCTATTAGAAAGTTGCTGAGAGTAAATCCTAAAGGTTCTCATCAAAGGAGAAAAAGAATTTTGCAACTATATGAGGTGGTGATGTTAAGTAAACTTATTGTGATAATCATGTAACACTGCAAAAAGGTCATTATGCTGTACACCTTAAACTTACACAGAGTTGTATGTCAATCATATCTAAATAAAATGGGGGACAATGTAAACCAGTACTTAAAGGATAACTCAGTAAAATAAATGTAAGGGGACTAAAAATAAATAGATTGATAGATAAAAGCTATCAACACCAACAGAGGGAAAGGAACAGTCCGCAGGGACAGATGGTTAGACCCATGGCTGGCTCTGAAATATGCTTTCTCGAGTTCAGTGAGAGGCCACCGGAGACAAGGCAGGGACCAGCTGCTGTTCCCCTGCCGCAGCAGCTGCAGGACTGACCCTGAGTGGACCCTTGGTCAGCACACGGGCCCAGCGGCTGGTGCTGACCTCATGCCTCAGGACGACACAGAGTAGAAACACTTCCTGTCCCTGGCTGGTGACAGCCAGGTCAGAACCTCTGATACTCCTTTCAGTACATGTGATCTGATTGCCCTCCCCTGGAATCCGAGCTGGTTCGACCTAGTAAATATGCGGCATTATGTTCAGGGACTTCGGGGGCTAGGTCGTCAGCCCTGCAGCTTCTATCACAGTCCCCGGGGCCCCAGCCACTCGGCGTGAGGAAGACCAAGCAGCCCTGCGGAGGCCGCGGAGCTGGGGCTGAGCCCGGCTGGCAGCCTGCACCAGCAGCCAGCAGCCGCCCTGCCAGCCCCATCGAGCCCTGTGAGCCATGGAGTGCCAACAGGCCGCCCAACCGCGCCCTCCCCGAATGACCCGACCTCACATTAATGGAACACAGTAAGAGGGCTGTTTCAACCCACCGAATCCGAGGCCATTGGTTAAAAATCAATTCATGAATGCAACACAATTTTATTGAGCTTCTACTATAGGACAGGCACCAAAGTAGGTGCTTTGTTATCTGGCATCTTCCTAAGAGCCTCCAGGAGGTAGGCATTTAATCGTACACATGTGAAGATTAAATTGAGGCTCTGGCCTCGGGCGTATTAAGAAACTCACCCCAAGTCTCCCAGGACCTGTTTTGTCTGTCTCCGGTATCTTCCAGGCCAAGGAAAGCCCATCAGGGGAAGAAGCCACACAATATGCTGGGGCTGATGCAGGCGGGAGACAAGGCGAGGGAACGGGGAGTTTGTGTGGGTACACCTCCCACTCCGCCAGAAATGGAAGTTGTGGGCGATGGAGTTTTCCCGAAGGTACGGTCTCCAGGCTGCAGTGGCGTGGCGGCTGTGGGCCCGAAGGGGACAAGGGGAGGGAACACTTTCACAATGTACGTTTGTCTCCAGTAAGAGCGCCCACGGGCTTAGCACCCGCTCTGTGCCACCTGCCGGGTAAGCCGGGCACGGTTCCTTTGTAAGCGCTTCAGCGTCTGCAGACCGACCGCCTTCACCACGTGCTTGCCCGGGGCCAACAGAGCCAAACGAATCAGCAAATGATTCATATTTGTCGGGCACCACCGATGTGTGGAGAAGCAGGACTCATCCTTGCTTCCCGCCAATGGCTTGCTTACTTCTCTTTGCTTTCTTTGCATTTTTTTTTCTTTATTATAGATTTCAGAGAGAGAGAAAGGGAGAGGGAGAGAGAGAGAGAAACATCGATGAGCAATGAGCGAGAACATCGATTAACCCCCCTGCATGCCCCCCACTGGGGATCAGGCCCACAACCTGGGCATGTGCCCTGAGCAGGAATCGAACCGGAGACCTCTTGGCGCATGGGTCGATGCTCAACCACGAAGCCACACTGGCTGGGCTTCTTCGCATTTTGTATTGTAATACCTTTGACATGTTTCCTGCATGCGTCTGTGAGTTCCTCTTGCAGTGCTTGGGGCAGAATGGGCAAGTGCTTCTGGTGGAAAAAAGAATGAAAGGAAAGGAACAGAGGGAGGGAGGAAGGAAGGAAGGAAGGAAGGAAGGAAGGAAGGAAGGAAGGAAGGAAGGAAGGAAGGAAGGAAGAGAGGGAAGGAGGGAGGGAGGGGGAAGGAAGGGAGGAAGGAAGGGAGGAGGAAGGAAGGAAGGAAGGAAGGAGAAAGGAAGGAAGGGCTGTGTGTATAGTTAAGCAGTTAAGAGTGGTTAAGGCCTGTGAAATCACCCAGTCCTGTGACATTCCTGACCGTGTAATGTGGGCCAGGTACTTAACGGCTCTGAAGAGAGATTCTATCACCTCCTTAGAGTGTTCGGGGAGCCAGTGAGACCATGCACATCTCCTAGTGTTAGCTCTCAGAGGAGGTGATGAAGAGGATGCAGAGGAGGGTCTGCAGGGGGTGGAGAGCTGGAACAGGACAGCACAGGGCAAGTCATCCAAACAGGCACTAAAGAAGAGAGATGCATTTAACATACGGGCTGGTCCTCCAGGTGCCCAGGGCTCATTTAGGAAGAACTCAGAAAAGATAAACTACCAGGCCGTTTAACAGCAGTATAAGGAGTAGGTGTGGACAGTGGGAGGCAGGGAAGTAAAGGAAGGGTTTGAGATGGAGGGAAGGTTGGCAGGATCTGACTGGTTGGGGCAGGGTGGAGGCTGGGGGGAGCGCGGAAGGGAAGGAAGGAGCCAGAGCCCGGAGAAGAGTGGACGACTGTGCAGGGACACTGCATGAGGAGCACTTTCAGGGCAGTGTGTCCGGGAACCCAGCACTGTGCCCGAAAAGCCTGGGCAGCCAGGTCCCACAGGTCTGCGACAGTTACCAGTCTGCCTTTGAATCAAGCCAGGATGCCAACGGAATCATAAAACCTGTCAAGTGTCTCCCAGAAGCCTGGATAGTTTGGGACCAGACAGGAAGGGAGAAGGGATTCTCAGGAATGGGATGCTTTTCTTTTTAAATCCTAGAGCCCAGGGGATTTCAATAATTACATGGCAACGGCAGGGGGTGGATCCAGATGAGGCCCCCAGGTCCCTCCCAGCTCTGCTGATCCTTGATGAATTAGGAGGAAACAAACCCACGCCTGGGAGCCCAGGTGAGCCATCCGGTTCACCTCTGCCCTCTGCCCAGCAGGGGCCCAAATCCCCTGTCGTGCTGGCCTTGGACCAGGCACTTTTGTTTCTTTTATTTGTGGTGTAGAATTAATGCCGATTTCTTATTGGCAACCTGCTGTGTGTTTGAAGTGGTCCACGATTTAAGCAGGTCCCTGGTCTCACTGAAGATTTGAGGAAGTGGGGGTGTTGTTTAGGAAGCTTTTAAGTTAGAGGAGTCACACCCCAAGCAAGATCTTTCCTCCCTTCATTCACCCAACAAATATTTCATGGAGCCCTACTCTGTGCCAGGCAAAGCGAAGAAAGCCACACCTCTGCTCTTATATATAAATAAGAATATGAGAGAGAGAGAGAGAGAGAGAGAGAGGAAGAGAGAGAGATAGAGAGAGAGAGAGAGAGGTCATCAGTGCTGAAGAAAAATAAAGCAGGGTGAGGGCAATGGCAGGCGTGTGTGCTATTTGAAATAGACCTGTCTGAGCAGGTGGCATCTGACGAGAGATGGAAAGGGGAAGAGGGTGAGGGAGAAAGTCATGTTGGTATCTGAGGGGAGAAGGCATTTCAGGAAGAGGGATCCAGAAGGCATCAGATGATCGCAAATTTAGTGCCATAAAACAAAACACATTGTCTTACAGTTCTGGAAGCCTCGTCCAAAATGGGGCTTTGGGGCTAAAATCAAGGGGTCTGCAGGTGGGCTCCAGAGCAGAACCTATTCCTGGCCTCCTCCAGATTCTAGAAGCCGCCTGGGTCCCTTGGCTCGTGCTCCTTCCTTGACTCATTCCAACCTCTCTCTTCGGTCATCACATCCCCCTCTGTGTCCCTCCTGCCTCCTTCTTATGAGGACCCTTATGGTTACATTGGACCCACCCAATAATCCAGGACAGTCTCTAATCACATCTACAAAGTCCCCATTGGAATGTAGGCTAATATATTCACAGGTTCTAACCATCGACTGGGTGCTTGATCTGGGCGGGCTACACTGTGCTCCTCTGCGTGTATTACATACTTCCGGACTTACCGCAGATGGGTGGGGGGGATGCAAATAGTCCCCACTTCACTGACGGCAAAACTAAAATGTTAAGTAACTTCCCAGTGGACCCAGAATTTGAATCCAAGTCTGTCTCATCAGCAAGAGCCCATGATTTTAGCCCAATGGTTCAAACCCTAGATTCACACTAGAAAACCAAATATGGAGTTTTGAAAAAAAAAGTTTTTTGCTTGAAACCCAAACGTGTAGGTTTTGATGTATTTGGTTTGAGGTGGGGGCCAGGTTGAGAACCAGTTGTAACCGTATTATAAAACAGCCCCCCACTGAAAATGGGCAAACTGCTCATCCCTTACTCCGTGCCCATGCACAGAAATGCAGAGAAGAAGTAACACCGCCGAGTCACACACTGAAATAAGGTGCTGGCTTCATTGTATGTGGTAAATGATGACATTCTTAAGCTATTAAATGCTGATCTGTTATTCATACCATTTCACATTAAATGAACATATTTATGTTTGACTTGGCAATTTACAAAAATTGGAATTTGAAAGGTGTAGTATTCTGACAACACATCATTTCAGGTTGCTGGTTTTTTTTCTTTTTTTGGTACGTGCCCCTAGTGGGAACCGAACCTGGGACTCTGGTCCGCAAGCTGATGCTCCAACCACTGAGCCCAACCGGCCAGGGCTGTTTTTTTCTTTTTTAAGAGAAGATATAATATAAATTGGGGAAATGAAATCAAGCAATAAAAATAGAGTGCCCACCCAAACAGGAGTAAGTTCACTTCCAAATTGCCAGGGGTGGTCACCGATGGATTAGGGCTTTGCTATGTTGAAGTTTACATCAGGGTGACTTCTGGCAAGGTCAAGGTCATTGAGAAAGATCAAGATTTGGTCAGGATGTCTTATATTTTCCCTTTTAAACTCAGAATAAGAGTAATTAACCTTTAAACGGGGCAACTCACCTTCAGCAAGCAGGTCTTTCTAGCCAATCTCTAGATTTAAGCTGGAAGTGTCACTACGTTCAAGTGGCATTGTGTCATCTAGGTTAATGCTCTCATCTGCGTATCAGCTAGCTGTGTGACCCGGGCCATTTCATAGCTCTCAGGCGTACTTTCTCCCTTGAGCAGCAGAAGTAATACCCAGGCCCTGCCCAGTGCTTGTTAGAGCTGAATGACGCATCTGTGCAATGAGGTCCAGCGCAGCGCTAGGAGCCGAGGGCTCACTAGGTAGCAACTTTCCACCTTTCCTATGAATGCTCATGTGAGGTCAGCGGAAACAGGGCATATCCTCGGGGCTATCTTTTTTCTGTTAAGAGTTCAAAAGTGTTAGTTTTAAATACCGTATTCAAATTGTAATTTCACCATAAGCCTGGTGACTGACTCAGGCCCTGTGTCAAACAGCACAAGACCACATAAGTCCTGTGTGCGTGTGTACATCAGTGAGGATGGGCTCAGTTACACTGTAGTAACAAACATCCCTGAACCTCAGTGGCTCCCACAGCAGGTCTGTTTCTCGCTCATCTCCATCTGGGGTCAGCTGGGGACTTCGCTGTCACCACACTCTGGAATGTGGCCACTGCAGAGGGAGGAGGAGCACAGGATTGATTGACTAGCTGCTTCCACTCCGATGTGACCATGTCACTTCTGCTCCATCCCATTGGCCCAAGCAAGTCACATGGCCATACCTAACTTCAAGGGGGGTGTGAAAACCTACCACACGCCTGGAACCAGAAATAGCTGGAGAATCACATTAATGACAGCCACTGGGATCTTACAGTTTAAAAAGTATTTGTCACAACGATGATCAATGTAATTTGCACAATATCCAAGATAGCAATTAATTAATTAAATGTGGTAATTATAAGGCATCAGCAAACACCAACGAAAACAGAAAACCCAGTATGAACAGTTTGGCTAACTCTGCCCGCGATCCTGAGCAAACGCATCCCGAGCGGATGAACAGGTGTGAATCTGCTGTTTGCCCGTATTCGCCGGCCTCCCTGACATTTCTTCTGAGTGGAATTCTCGTTTTGCTGTGTTTTTGTTTTTGTAAACTGGCCTCTGAGCGGTGGCCAATTGTATCAATTCTCAGCTTGAATATTGTGATCTTTCACCTGGGAGGAAAAACTGGCCCTTTCCCCCTTGAAATCGTGCGGCACGTCTCTCTCACACCACGTCTCGGGGAGACTTAATTTGGACTCTATAATGACTTTGCCATAAGGACTGACTTTGGATTCTGACCCCCCCGGGGACAGATGAGACGCTCCTTTATCCCGGTCCAATAAATGAGGATGTAAACAAAAGCTCAACAGTCAAGTGACAAGGACACTGAGCAAGAGAGTGGCTAAAATCTCCCTCTTTTCAAGGCAAGTCCTGAGGGGACAGCTTAGGTTCACCTGGAGAACTGGCGGCTTCCCGCCGCTGACTCCCAGCTCGTCTCGGCCACGGGTCCACGGCAGAGCGGAGGTGTGAGAGGCGCCAGGCTAGCAGTCTTCACTTTCTTCGTTAACCCAGGCAAGGAAGTGTTT